TGATTCATCATGCGCGCATGTTTTATGTGTACCTATCTATCACGACAAAACCGTAATAACGATTGTGAAATTTTGCGGCCACTATTCTCATCCGACGATGCGTAAATTACTTTACCTCTCTTTTTCCGCGCGGGATAATGAAACGTCAAAAATCGGCGGAGCGCATATTTTTCGCAAATGAGATACTGTCAATGCGAGCCGTATCTCGTCACATTAATCCAGCGAAAGATGTTCCTTTCGCGATCTCACGATCTGACATGCAGCAAAAATGAACGCTCCCGTCTACCCGTAATTTATCCATTCCGTCACAACGGGAAAAGAGAAATCCACGCGGCCGGGTTTGATGCGCCATTATTGCTTCTCTCGTGCCAGCGTGAAATGGAATTTTTTATGACAGATCCCACGAGCCACATTTGCGTCGCGCGGAGAAACGTAGATTCTCTAATTCGACCGGGCGAACAAACATACACACAAACATACATCGCGACGCAAGTCGAGGGAATTAACGAAGACGGGAAACGGAGCGCACAGTCGATCATCCTCGAATATCCTGGCACTTCTCGGTCTCGAGAATGAAGCGTGCGGCATCAGTCTCGCGCAATTTGAATTGCGAAGCGTGCGCGCGCGTATCGGGAAACTTGAAAATAGCTTAATCGATCATCTTCTCATTCCGCATTACCTTAGCTGTCATGCCGTAAGTTACTCGCTCAGCGACTCGATAATGCTTTGAATTATAATCGTGGAAAATAGTGTCTATTGAAATAGGATCAGTGACCCAGCGGGTTGTGATTGATTAACCATAGCGGAATCAAAACGGGATTACGAATTGTCAGTCTGCAACTGTCTGAGAATCAAATTATTCTTCTTGTAATTATTTTACTATTTTTGTCAATATACTTATATATTTTTCAAATTTAACTAAAGTATTTTTAATCGGTTAGTGCGATATGCGATTTTTTCTTAGTTTAGCATCAAGTTGACGAATATATTTTCAATCCATGGATAATAATTGTTTTAAATTTAATTTTGTTCAATTATTGCGTTAAAAGTGGATTACGGGTCTTGCTTGAAATAGCAATAAAAATTCTATTTTACGAAATATTTATTTATTACATATAAATTAATCTTTACAAATATGTGATAAATGATGCAGCTATTAATCGCATCTACTCTAATGAAATCATGAAATTGCAGGGAATTAATGATTATCTCTTCTTTTCAAGCGAAACTTTCAGCATTTATCGATTACTTTCACGATTGTGCACAATATAATTGAACATTCCTGATATAAAATATATATAAATCGAGTTTTACGAGCGCGCGTTTGCACTATTTCACATATGTTAAAACCGTCGACAAATCGAAGAGCAATTAGCAAAGTGGCCGAATATCGATCGTGCATCTACCTCTAAGCGATTTGCATAACGCACGGCTAATCATAATCAAAGTAATTAATTACTCTCCACGTGCGAACCGCTCGCGTACTGTCATCAGTACGAGTCGCGAAATAACTAGTTCGCAAGGTTCCGTGCAGTCAGTTCACCGGTAGTGTTATTATTAATTCAATTTGCACGGTTGCATTACACGGCGAATGTAGGGTAGTCGAAAGCGTCTTTAACGCGCTAAGGATCCTCTCTGAGAATGTAAACTACGTTTCCAACACATTTAATTAGAGCGGAAATTGTAGGTAATCAACGCAAAAATAATTTCTAAGCTTCTGAGCTTATTACCAACATATATTATTATCATATTTAATTTGATTTTGAAATATTTTTTCTAAAAGGTTCCATTAAATAGAAATTTTGTGAGACATTTGACGGACAAATATAAGAAATTTCTTATTACAGTATCGTCACAGCATCGTAAATACAAGATTCTGTAAAATTGTTTGAGTTACGTTTAAGATGAGTAATCTTTGAATATCGTTAACAACTGTGTGTTGTTGAAAATGCTAACAATTTTAATAGTTCAACATTCCAAAAAAAGCATGATTCTTGAAATAATTCTTCTGTAATGAAACTTCTGTAATGTAAACTAAATTAAAAATAGTTTTCGTTACATTGCAGAAAAAAATGAAGGCAATTATTCTTTTGTTACAATACTTGAAACGCAATATTTTATTACTATAATATTTTTATAGCATTTTGAGTTAATGAAGGAATGTTTTTTTCAAAAGATATAAAAAATCATCTGTTTTAACGAAATACAAAATATAGTAAAATAAGAAAAGAAATATGTTTTAAAAATTTTGTTATTTGAAAGTACTAAAAAAGCATTTTATATGTAAAAATAAAAATTTTCGACGCGCTTTGTTTGAAATGGAAGGTGGCTAATCTATTTTTCGCCGAATACCAACACGAAATCGGGACTTAACAAAATCGAACAATTTTCCACCAGCGCGTTGCATGAATTTCCAAAAATATTAAATAATCAATTCGGAAAGAATTTATTCTGTCAGTTAATCAAATCCATTTATCAAACAGAGCATTTTTCGGATAAATAGGAATAACAATAAATAACAATTTTTCGCTTATAGCAAAAAACTCTATCGAAATCTAATCTCTACGCACGTCTACGTACTATTCGCAGTCATCAAATTTTATTAATCTCATAAGCGCGTTTAACTGTTCGACCGTTTAACTGCTATAGTTCCCCGTGGAGATTCCATGAATTTGTTCGTTTCACGATAGAGATGGCAATGAATAAAAGCTCGTGATTGAATACCGTTTTACTGAAGAATCACTGACACCTCGGATTGCCACACAACAGTCTAATAATGGATGCCTGTTAATTACTGGTTGTAACAAGTCCGCCGCACATCATGGATTCGCAGATATCCAGCAGGACGGTTCATTACAGCATTGCTTGGAAACCCAACCAGCGGAAAAATTCTACGTTTAATGCGCACGAACAAACGCCGCCGAACGGTATTATCGAGCAGGCGCGCGCGTAATCTCTACGACTGCTCGGCTCTATTGTGTCAGAAAATACTGACCATTTTCTCCGGCGTGGGCCGCGCCGTCGCGCGTACACCGAAATAGCACGAGGGGGACACGATCGATGGCCGGCAATTCGCGAAATTACGCCTCGTGAATGAAGATGAATAGTTGACTGCCGCCAAATCACCTATTTCGCGTGTTCACGATAGCCTAAATCCCCTGCACGTGTCGCGAGTGTGACAACAGCGGTGGCCCCGGTGTTCGTTCAAACACCATCTGTTTCCGGCGTACCGAGGAGCTCGCGCAAGCACAGGTCTCTGTGTAACTTAAATATTTTCTTGAACTTTAAAAAGCAAACTTCTTATGAAATTTAGCTAGCGCTTCGTTGGTGCGCTTAATGCTGTTTAGAGACGGATGTGCATATATTTTATATTAAATATGCACATACACTCGTATAATTTATATTATTATAGAATAAGAAGTTTCGTGTCACCGGTTGTATCCAAAATTAATTAAAAAATATTATCTCTGCTTAAACTGTCAAAAATGATTTACGTTCCCGAGTTGGAAGTTGCATTAAAAAATTTGAAACTCTCAAACGAAAAAAAAAGATCTAACAATCAGTATGATAAACGTGGCGAGTAAAGTTATTCCATGCCGACTTGAATATTCTATTGCGTTTTTCTCTGCATAGCTAATATAATTTCACAGCGCCTCGTGCACGCAAAGTCCTAGGGCAAACTCGCAGCTAACTTTAAAGTTGAAAACGTGGATCTAAACTCGGCTCGATAGGATAATCGATTAGCTTTGAGCATTTTTATTACCTAACAGCGCAAAGCGTTCGAGAGCCGCCGTCCAATAAAATTCCTTCCGTCAGAGATATAAGTTGGAGAACGCATTGCATATTCAGCATGTACAGTCGATTGCATATTCGGCACCGAAATTCGCGCGGCATCGCTGATAAATTGTATTACGTTTTTCGTCTCGGGTGCAAATCGAAGCCCCCGCTTCCCTCGTCCTGTGCTCATCATCGTTACGTTTCATCGAAACAGCGTAAAATCCAATTAGAAAATCAAGCGGGAATTTTCCATCGGAAGCACTAGTGGCTAAATATTATTGTACGCTGTTGGCAATAATAATGCATAATACGGATTTCAATCTACTAGCCGGTTTATCAGCATCGCGAGCGCGGTTATATTAAGAGTAGCATTATTATTGTTGTACCAAAATGCTACCGAAATTGTGGCTACTATTATCGTGGCCTTTTAAGCACAAGCGTCATTAATCCTTCATGCGGATACACATACACGCTCATTATACGATTATTAGCACGATATTTGAAATAACGTCAATTGCGCGCTCTCCGCGTTAATTATTAGCCACTGCAAATATGCTTCATTATATTTAGTCTTAAAATATATACATTTATAAATACATAATATTTTGCCGAACAAGATTTAATTAAATTAATTAAGTAAAATTTCATTATAAATTTGATCAAATTTGTTCTATGATTAATAATGATTGTAAAAGTAGATTAGCGTACTAAAAGCATAATTATAGCATAATTGCAAAAAAAATATAGATAACTGATGAAATAAAAAATTTTTAATATTAATTTTATTCGATATGAATGTGCTATTCAATTTTTAATATCGTAATTATCATTCTATTTTAATATTTATATAAAAAAAAAAAAAAATATTTGAAGTATATTTTTGTGTAGTGATATCTTAATATTTTTATTTACAAGGTTTTTTATTATTTAAAAAAATTTTTTTTTTTATTTTTTCGCGAAAAAATTTGTTTTTATAGTATATTCTACTATAGACAAAACTCATTAATTAGTAAAAGTATGAATTTTGTTAGAGATTAAACATTTCCTGTAAATATTTTTTTTGAAAATTAGTCAAGGATCAGACGGAGACCTGCGACAGAGATTGACACGCTTTTTTCTCGGAACACCTCATATATCATCGCCCGTTTCTTATCACTTCACAGAGAATTTAACGAGATACATTCGCACACACTGATAAAAAAAAACAGATTTTTTTCACTTACGGGTCTCGAAACGACACTTTTCGGACACGGCGTATGAAATTCCTGGACGAGGCAGCGCTCACCGTCTGCACCGTCTACTCCAGAAATGCATCCAAATCGCTGAAAATGCACCTCGAGCCTCCCGAATCTCCGCAGAACTCGCACGAAGACTTGTTCGCGATACAACAGATCGAAAGAGGAGACTGTCCCTCGTAGCGTTCTAAGGTTACGCGCACTTTTACGCGCCGTTCACCGCAATGACGTTGACACACACGGTGCAGTCACTTCCGGTTCGTTGCGCGTCTCCGTTGCAGCTGTTCCAAGCAACGACGCTGCGACTCTCACGATGGATCGCTTCCCGAGCGCTTGTGGACGCAGCCCTGCTTATCTGGATCGCAAATTGATCCCGAGATTAAACGCACGCGTCCGCACTCACATTCATTCCGTCATCGCGTCGCGATCAGTCACTTCGATCCACTCCATCGATTGCGAACGGACGAGCGTATCATCGAGCGGATACGTCGAGCGGTCCTGTACGGAATAAATCGTCCGTGTCAGTCGTTCTTCACTCGCGATCGCGATCGCGCGATCCACATTTTAACGAGTCAATACGAGCACTTTTTCAACGCACTGTCGCATTCCCAAAATGCAGATGCAATCGTCACGCAGTCGTCGCTGTCGTATAAATATACATGCACTGTTCGACGAATCCGCGATTCGGCGCCTCGCAAAACTCACAGTCAGAAAAAAAAAAGAAAAAAACAATCAGTCGGAAAGATCGATGATCTTCCCCTCGATCGATGCCGGATCACTGTTGGATCGCTCCCCGAGTGACAAATGAGAGTGACAGTGCGGCGACGAGGGTGGAAGGGGTGGGAAAGTGAGTGGAGTGCGTGTAAATCCAACGAGATCGCGAGGCACGAGCGGCACGTCGTGATGTTGGCAGGCGACTAACCTCCGAGAGCCGCTCTGCACCCCCGGACGCCGCGCATGCCCCCTACCTTAAAGAACGCACCCCCGCCCTCGCAACCACCGCTCGTTCGTCCCCCGCTCGTGTGCAGCTACCCTTCCCCCCCGCAAAACCGCGTTGACTTCATCTTTTTTGATGAGAAAACCACTAGTCTCTTTTCTCGCCTTCCTTGCGCCTCCCCTCGTTCCACACATGTGCGTCCTACCACTGCCTATCCTTTTCCACTTACGCTTTTCTGCTTTGCGTCACGATCGCCTGTTCCGCTCAATAGCGAGATACACGTAGTAGCTTCGGGTTTTCTTCAATTTTAATCACTATTCTTGATCCTTTAACATATTTAACGTCAAATTAAAAAAAAAACATTAATAGTTTTGTCTTAGTTTTTTAAATATGTCTCTTGGAATGTAAATAAAGAAAGACTTTGTTCTCTTAAATTAAATTGATTCTTGTTTTTCTTTTTCTTTATCTTTATGAAACTTAAAATGTGTATTTTTGACATCAAAGACAAGATTGTAATTATAAATTAAATCTTCCGTTTGTAATCTGATGGTTTGGAACATGTCTTCTTCCTTTCCTTTTTCAAAATTTAAAAAATTCTACGTCGCATAAATATATTGTACATCAATTATAATTTATTAAACGAATATCAATTGTACAATTAATAGAAAGAAATCTTTTTCCTTTCTGTGTAATTTCTTAAAGATCTTTAAAAATGTTAACAATGTATGTTTTCTAAACATTTGCTGTATATTACAATTTAAAAGTCAGTTCTGCAAGTGAACAATTTTCTTTCCTTTGAAAAGCTGAAGTAGTTAATATTTTTTAAATCGCAACCTTAAAGAACATTAAAAGAAATGTAATTTTTATTCAAAATTTGTAAAATTTGTAAATATTCCTTCTTTAAGAAATATTTAACATGGATGTAGTTCGTAAATTGCTGTGATCTGAAGTTGAATGACGTCGGCATCGTATCAGCACATGTCACAGTGTAAATTCACCGGCAAAATACAAAATAATTTTCTGCTCAGGTAGTGAAAGGTACAAGCGAGAGGTAGAAAATTGCACGAGGTAATTTCTTGAAAACGTCGCACGAGTGTCTCGGGGAAACGCTTTTCTGCGCCAGTAGAAAAACTACGCCGCGAGGCGAGTTGAACTACAGTGAATTTTCATTTTTCACCGCTGCCAAACAATAGGTTACTAGCAAAAATATTCGGTCGAACCTAAATTCTGAATTTTTAACCGAAGAAAAACAAAAGCGGGCAATCTGTCCGCCGTTCAATATAACGCACTAGGCAAAGCGCAATGTACTCGGGTGAATCTTTAAAAAATCATGCTTCATTGAATATAATCGCCGATTTTTCATCGCAGAATTTTCGCAGCTATTTTAATATTAGCACACTAGCACAAATAATCGGTCTCACGGAACTCCGCATTTCAATTCTGCAGCATAAACCGAAATTACATGAATATCAAACTTGTACCTTTATTTAAATTGCTCAAGTTCTATTTGTATGATTGAAAAGCTATCAATGTCTCCGACATTCTCCTTTTTGTTTTAATTTCAACAGTAGATCGGACATAACGGTCCTTCAATGGAAAAAGTTGCGGCAAACCAGGAAATTTTCCTCTCCTCCTTGGCATAACTTCCACCACACCCAAGTAATAATGCGATCGTTTCATTTCGATCGCGGCTTCGCCAGAACATTTTTCACTTCGCCGTCCCGGCGCGCGTCATAGAACCCAATTCAACCATCGTATTTTATGGATCATTCGAACATCCGGTTCGAAGGGTTTTTTTTTCTCGCCGTCCTTTAATATTTCTTACGATAGCTCTCCCCTTCGTTGCTCGTAGCCCGCTGGTCGGCACGTTGTCCCCGATAGCGCGCGATAAACGCCGGTCGGAGATATACGGTACACCGGTAGTGTTTTTCTCGGCTTATATCGGGAGCATTGCGGTGCGGGATTATTATTTGTCGCGGTAACGAGAATGAACGGCGGGTCGTTTTATTGTCAATATTCCCTCGCAATCGTGAGAAGCGACTCGGCATCGTCGCGCCCGGACTCCGCCTCCGAGAACGCGAGATTAAAAGGAATTTAATACGCTGGCATTCCGAGATTAATTCAGAATCGACGGTTTGCTGAAGCCGCGATTCCACGATCACCGGAATCGCACGAGTAACGCCTCGCGCAAAAGAAACTCCTCGCTCTGGGTGTGCTTTTCTCTTTTCTTTCTTTTTTACACAGATCTTTAGAGAGGTGGGGGGGGGGAGGGGGAGAGGAGGCGGTGGCTATCGATTCGCGCGCGGCAGGTACTAGCTGCCGCTTGTATTTTCACCTTTCCCTCCCTTTCTCGATCTCACCCTCTCGTCGACACGTTTCCGACCCGATTGACTGCGCCTCCGTTCCCTTCGGCCAAACCCCGATCATTTTTCATCGCAAGTCCACAACAAAGCGAATCGTTAAATAGCTCTTTGCATAAAATCGCTCACTGTGCAACGACGGCCGGCACAAAACGTATTCCATCCATTGTACCACCGTAACGTTGTTTGTCTCCTGTATTTAATGGCTACTTCCCTTAAGTTTAGAGTCTCTTCGCACAAAGACGTGTCGTCATTGTCACGAGAATACAATGGAAATTCATCTTATGCAAAGTATAATCTATTATCTCTCTATAAGTATTAATAGAAGAAAAAAAGACTAGTATATATACATATATTATACATATAAATGTGCATTTACATGAATGTAAACATATAAATCAATTACTAATTTATTTATTCTTGCTTAATGATGCAAATATTCTCAGAATCTTTTATTTTTTCACATTTTTCTATAAATGATTTCTACAACATAATATTATTAATTATTTTTATTAATTATCTAAATTATCTAAGAACAGAAAATACATGTACAAAAATTTGGCTTTAAAGTTCGTACTTTTAATTTTTTTTTTTTATTTTGTTTCTTTATTTTACAAGCAAGCGTTAAAAGAGGCGGAAATGAAATTTTGGGATTTAAAGATTAACGAAATTGCATCATCAAGGATTTTTCGTTAATAAATTGTGTGCGATCGGAAAACAAGCGATTTCAGATATTCTCAATTTATAAAAATTAAATGAGATGTAAATAAGAGATATCCATCTTCCTGAAAATCTTAAATCGATTCAGAGGCTTTCTCACATTACAGTCAACCGAAAATGGGCCAATAGTGGCTGCTTCAGCGGCACCTTGTACTTGGGAAACGAGCGCGTTTACTCTCGTTAAGGTGAGTGCCTAGGGCTGATTTACCCTCTTTACCCTCGCGTGACATCGAGCGAGGCTCCGCAGTTCTCTCGGGAGGGCGTAGTGCGAGAGGAGCAGAAACACTGGGCTCTGCGGAAGGACGTAAAACGAATCGTGCGACTTACGAGATCCTTTCACTCTTCGAAGGACCATGAGAAGAGATTGAAAAGTTCTTTTACGTTAAGATCTTTCTCTCTCTCTCTCTTTCTCTCTTCTTCTCCCCCTCCCCCCACTCTCTCTTTCTCTTTCTTGGAATTGATCTACCTTCGTAGTACGTTTCCCCATTGAAATTCTTCACGATGATCAAATTCATTATCGCACTATCTTCGTGACGCGTGTTCCAATCTCGAACTCAGCATATGCCTTATGTTATTTAACTGATTCGCGTCTTATCTCGCGACAACTTTACGACAAACGAAAACGAATCCTTCATCGTTCATCTACATTTACGAATTTTTAACACGGACATTAGTTGTGATAAAATTTGCAACAATAATACGCATCGCTTTTACGGGCTTCTTCCTCGCAACATCTCTAAAATTAGCGATATTCGAATAATTGGTTTAGGCGATGTAACGCTGATACAATAACTCGATATTTGCATATTCATGTATGCGAATGCCTCTGCACGTATTATGCATCATCACTTTATTACTACGGAAGTTTAGATGACCTTTTTAACAAACACGCGGTTACACCCGAAAATTTGTAAATTTGATATAAAAGCGATATCAACGATTACCGCTTGCGGGCGAACGAGCCGAAATTCATTATTGTAAATATAATTCGGTATTTATCCGATTAAACACTGTCATTTATCATTCGTTATCTTGCAAGCGGTAACAATAAATTTTACATTGAATTTGTGTCCGGAATATTTGCAGCGATTACTCAGCCGTTCGCATGGACAATTTATGACGAAGCTTGCGAATACGCGCGAGAAGCGATTCCGTGCGCCGGAATCTTTTGCAAAAAAAAAAACGTTTACGGGGATAGTTAAACTCGTCGGGAGCTTAATTGCTAATAATTCACGATCAAAAGTCAACAAGTGTTAATTAAAAGTCAACATGATGGACGATAAAAGAAAATTTTCAAAATTCCGAGTTTGTCGAATCGGAAGGAAAAGGCGTCATTTCTGAGTCGCGCCGTCCCGATGCATTTAACACGGCGCGATGCATCAAGGACGAGATCAATGAACTCGATCGTTAGTCACGTGCGCGGTGCGCGGGACGGATTCAAATTAACCGGTTAATGGGAAAGTTCAAGCGGCGTGAGTTTCTAAATCGAAGTGTCGAGCTGACTTGAAGACGTTCGCGCGAGTCGACAGCGACGGTGTTACGTCAGCGATACTAATGGCCAATTTGGTTCTTCCGTGTAGCCGACGATACGTCGCGCATAAGCCAACGGATTACTCCACGTTGGCTGATCAATTCTTTCGTGGAACGTCAGGGATTTAAAGCTCATTCTCTTGAACAAGAATGAGATCATCAATCACGCATCTTTAGAAGACCCAATTAAATACTAAAATAAACTGTGATTGACGCGTGATAAATGTAACATTTATATTTCAAACATTAATTCAAACATTAATTCAAACATTATGAAATATACCATATTTTTGAAGAAAACAAGAAAAAATAAAATATGAAATAAAAATATGAAATAAAAATAATAAAATGTGAGA